GTTTCTGGCAAGTTACAGAAAAAATGCAGAATTTTACATTTGCTCACTTTTTACATAATTACAAAACACCATACAGCAATTAGCTTTTACCCTATTTTTTAAAAATTCTTTTTTCAACTTTTTTTTAAACTTTTTTTTAACGGGTTCAACATAAAAATGCAAAGTATAGTTTTCTTTTTTTTTAAGAAACAAACCAAAAGCAGAGGTATATCATGTTATTATAATACACCTCCTCAATGCTCTGAAATACCAGTGCACTCAAGTGCATTCTATATTGGTACAAAACAAACACCAGGCTAAACTTTAACCATAGGTGAACTGAACTGGACATAATTTTTATTTTTTTTTTGAGTCAGTGTTTAGTATCGATAAAGAAAACAGTAAAATACTTTAGAGCATGGAAAGGATGGATACCTATAGACAGCTTAAATACATACGAAGCTTACAGCTGTATGCAAAGCAGTGAATGTTATCCTGTTCCCCCCTCCCCCCAAGCAATGGAAGCTGAATATATTTGGGCAAAGCATCAGTGTCAGTGAAATGCGTGTGGAAAGAAAGGGCACCGAGCCCTGAAAACGCAGGTGGGAAGGGAGCTGGCGTTACGCTTCCCATCACTCAAGAGCACAAGGTGTACGAGATTAAGCCAGTTCAGCTCGCCTATCTTTAAAACTTAGCTGCATCACTGGATCAAGGATCACTGATTGCTGCCCCTTCTGACAAATGAAGTAAGAGTTATGAGCAGCAGAGGAGGTTTTTCTATTTAAAAGGGTGCCTTAAATTATGTTAAATTCCCAAACCTGGCCAGCAGGCAGAATAATTTCCAGAGTTCTGGTTAACAAGGAATGTTTTGTGGGATTTTAGCAGATATTCTCCCGTGCCCCCTGCCCAGTCCTCCCTTGCCCCACACCACAGATATTCCAGACAGCTTCCTTGGGATTTGGCACCTGATGAAGCTCTTCTGACTTGGTGGCATTTGGAAGGACTGGATTTGGGTGTTTCAGCAACAGCTTTTAGATACCCTAGTGCCTCAAGGAAAGTGCAAAGATAATCAGACTCTATGGATGCTCTTGCCTTTGAAAGGCAGTACAAATCTGCACAAGCTAATGGCACTACTGTGCTTCTCAGCAGTGGTCAAACTTCAAGAGTGAAGAGTCCACCCTCAGCGGCGGTGAGAGCTCCTGCCCCAGGGATGGCACCTGGGAGGTCTCCCAATGGCCTGGACAGTAAATAATAACATAAAATAATAACGGAAAGGGCCTCACTTCACTTATTTGGTTGTATCCCCCCCCCATGTCCTTTGCTCTGAGTTTCTCCAAGGAGAAGGAGGTGTAGAGGGCAAACCGCTGGTGGGACGGCTTCCCTACCGGCAGCAGTACCTGCTGTGAGGAAGGTGATGGTGACACCGGCATGGGCTCTCCCAGGGGATATACCCGAGCCATCAGAAGCCAGTTCCTCTGGTCCTGCCACTCGTCCTGTCTGTAGTGGGACTGTAGTCAGATTCACACCCACTTTGGTTTAAAAATAATACAAAAAGCCGGCCCTTTCTCCCCTCCTGGGGTAAAGCCAAACCAAACCAGGAATATGCCTACGGGCAGCTTGGATTTTGCTGGGGATGCAGAGGGGGGAGCAATGGCAAAGCTGATTGTCTCCACGTAACCAAAATGAAAAGGGACAAGACCAGTTCCATTTAAAGTGCTTTATGGCATCAAACTGACATCAAGTTACATGTTGAGATGATCACTTCACTTAAAAGAAGCTAAGGCCAACCCCACACAACTCCACCGAGTCTCACACCATGTGCTACATCTACTCTCTATGGCTGGGGTATTCTGGCACCCCCAGCTAATACTGACCACTTCTGTACTTCATCTGAGACTGCACTCCCACTTCCCCGGTCACTGGAACCCCTTCTGCTGGGCAGTGATAAAGACCGGGCTAAGAAAAGCCCAAGAAAAGAAGGTCTGATTTTTCCCCTCCATGAAACATTAGCAAAAAAAGCTCTGAGAGCCCCTGCAGGGTCCTCTTCTCCCTCCAACAATACAGGCTTCGCACAGACATTTTTGAAGCTGCTCTGTGTCCCAGTAACCCCATGCAAAATGGGGTGGTTTGGGTGCTCCAGATGGGATCAAGGGACCGGCTCTGGAACCAGATACAGCATCAGGCTGGGCTGAAGAAATAACATGCTTTCAGCAGATGGATTGAAAGGTTGCGGGATGGATGCCAGGTGTGGAACTGGAGTAAATGCAATTTTAAGGCCAGGAAGAGGAAAGGCTTTGGTGCTGCAAAGCTGGGACCGTACTCTAGCAGACAACCCTAGGCAACCTGCAGGAATCAGAGCAGGAATCTGACTCTGGGAACCAATGCCAAGCCTTTCCACAGAAAACCTGAGGGGGCAAAAATAAAAGGCTAAAGAGATAAAAACAAAGCCCTCACCTTCCTAAAGGTGGAAGAAGGAGGAAGCTGTGTGGGAGTAAAGGCTTCATTCCAAAAAAGTGAATCATGCAGTAACATACATCCTCCAGGGACAAAGGTCTGTCCACCAGAATTTAAGACACAAAGAGCTTTGATGCGCAGTATTTCTAGTCAGTATATTTCTGATTTACGCCCATGGTTTCTTTGACAAGGAACCATAGGGACCTTAGGAGATCACTTAGCAAATACTATTTTCACCTAGGGCACTGAATGATCTTTTTGATTTGCACAGGTCAGAAGAGATGGTTGAGCCAGGCGGAGACTCAGCCCTGCTGCCCTGCGTCACGCATCTCCCTTTTGATGCATTCCTTGGAGCCATGGGACATTCCAGTGTCACGAATTCAAGATGCGCTGGGACTGGGAAAAAGACTGAGGGATGAAAAGAAAAGCCCATACCGGCAAAGGCTATTACAGACCGCGGGGAACTTTCAGAAATACTGGGGACCTGATTTCTGTTTACGCAACAGTAAATGAGCCTTGCACTGCTTTGGCTTCCAAAAATTTCAGCTTGGCACATTCATTTTTGCAGATATATAGATAGCAGGGCAGAAGTTATTTTCTAAAATTGGTGGGTGTCTTATGAAAAGGGTAACACCACAACACCAGCACATGCCTCCTTCAGCTCCTTTCAGGTTCAGGAGAGCTGTCTCTATCCCCCTGGAGAAGCGACCAGACCCTCACATCACTGCAAGATGCTCCATGTTTTGCTTTTTCCTTTGCCTCCAAGAGGTATGAGAAAAGCTAAAAATATTTAAACAAGGAAACTAACTGATAGGAGGAGTCTTGTCTGAAGTCACTGCTTCTTCTTCCAGACTTTTTATTGGCCCAAAAAGATGCTCTGCCTTAAAGAAAGCTCTCAGTTGAAATTGTGTAACTCTGGGCATGGCATGGGCTGCTAAGCAGCACTGGCCAAGCCCTGGTTTTGTAGGAATCAGGGAGATAAGAACATTTGGTTTACCAAAATCTTGGTAAGGAAAAAAAAAAGGAAAGAAAAAAACCAAACCACACCTCAAACCCCCAAATAAATCAAAATAAAAAGTAAAAAGAAATAAAAAAATAAAACCAAGTAAACTTCTTTTAAAAAAATGAACTCTTTCAAACAAACAGAAAGATAAATATTTTTTGCAAGCCCTGCTTGCAATTAAGAACAAGCACCAGATAATATTAAAAAAAGCAAAATAAAGATAAATCTCAAACCTTTTTCCTTTCTTCCTTTTTTTTTTTTTTTGAGTCTTAATAGTTTAGAGAGCTTCAAAAGCAAGCAGGTGGTTTAGGATTCCTGCACTGACCAAGACAGACCAGTCTAAGCATCCACCTCACTATCAAGGCTGCTGATACTCATCAGCACCGAACTGTGAAAACTGCTGCGGGTTACTAGCTTGTGAGAAGCCAGAGAGCAAATTGAAATCAAACAATAGTGCAAGAAGAGAAATTTTTTTTTTTTTTTTTTTTTAAGAAAAACTGGTAGGAAAGGAAATGCACTTGACAGCTTCAAACTCTGAGCAAACCCTTAAGCTGTTTTGAAGCTGATAGTGTCTCGTAACCATTTACAAATCCGCTCGGGCAATTCCCCTGAGAGGGTTTGGAAGAACAATAATTTTGGAAGAAAGTTTGGCTTGCTGCATTTCTTTTCCCCCGCTGAACACATCCCTGTATTCAACAGCTGTACAAACACCTGACAGTCGGCATAGCGAGAGCCAGCCTCAGACCTTCCCCTTCTGCTGACGGCAACGCGGGGACACACAGACACTTTCACCCTAGCGCCCACGGCGATGGAAACGGATCTGCCACGCCGGACCTCTGGACCTGTCCCACAGCATTTTTGTCCATAAGGATGTATTATCTCCCCAGAAATGGTTAATAAGTGCACAGTATCGTACAGGCATAGGAACTAGGAGCCACCTCTTTGGAGTTTGCTCTGCATGCAGCACTCAGTCCCCTGACCTGCGACATCTCGCTGAAGTGCTCTGAAATTGCTGTTGTCTCATCCTGCCTTAGAAACGAGCACGGGAAGCTGACAAAATCCAGAGAAACAGAAGCCCAATGTTAACACAAAAAGTAGGGGAAGAAAAATACAAATAACAGAACAAATGTCCCTAAAAGCAGATTTTTCAGCCATCTCTCTTGTAAGTCATCAGACTTGTAATGAAGGGATGTCAAATGCAACTGGAGAACTATATACTGGCAAAAAACCCAATCTTTACTTAGGGGATGGGAAGGAGTGAGCTGGAGCTCAAAGAGATTGTGTAAAAATACGTTGCTTAGAGTTGTTCCCACTTGAACACTGTTTGTTCTGGCTCCCTGGGGTTGCCTTACAAGCCTACTGAATTTCTCTTTTCTGCATCATTTTAAATATAACCCAAAGATGTTCTGCTTGATTCTGGAAACAGTTTGACATTTAAATCCTCTGCCCCATGGAAATCTTTCGGAATTACTTTAAATTTTATTTTTTTCCTCTGAATTTTTGTTTTGAACGCCGTTACTGCTTCCTGGTGTAAGGTACCTTTCTGAAACCAAACGGTCCATATACCATGAGCACAAAAGGGGAGTGCAAGTCAATGGTGTTACACTCGGAGCAGTAAGGGCAAGATATTTAATATCTACACACTCCCTGAAAGTCATCAGGTATCATCTATCCCCATGGGCTGGGCTAAGCTTGGCTGTACAGACTGTAAGCATATCCCAGTGGATACATAGATACATATATGTATATATACAGTATATCTATATATGCCAGTGTGTACGCACCATTTGTAGAGTCCTAACCTTTTGCTAAATGCTTGGTTTTGGTTACGTTCCCCAGAAAAGGGGAATTTGAAGGCACAGAACCCTTAAGGCTATGTTCTCTCATCCTTTAGCAGTAAGAAGAGACAGAAAACATCCATCCCAATCCATTTAACCCAAGGTTTGCACAGAGAGATGGTACTATTTGCTGTGCAGTCAGCCTCTGTGGTGAGAAGTCACACAAAACCACAGGAGAGAGGCCTTTTCCCACCACTTAACAGACTTCTTAACATATTTTATTTAAAACCTCCAGATGCTTGTCAGATGCAGGCACCAGCAGCGTGCTGTGGAGCAGGCAGGGAGATGTCCACTGTACCAATGCCGAGAGTGACCAATGAAACCGTCCATGCTCAGCAGAAGATCTCCTCGCCCTCCGGAGGTGCTTCTGACGAGTGAGAATCTGCAGCACAAAAAACCAGATGGGAATCACTATGGGAATACAGGAATACAGCAGGCAGAGCAGGACTCCGCACACATGGAAACCTCGCTGTCTGCCCAATCCACTGGGCACCTTAAAAGATGTCCAGTTCCCTGATGAGCTACCATGACATTACATCTCGTAATTGCTGAGCTTTCCTGTGCACAAGTTGGAAAACATTAGTGAGTTAATATGGATAAGCTGGTCATCTGAGGGCGTGAGATCAAATTTCATGTGGGTCAGAGGTTTGAGCTGCAGAACTGAGTCCTAGGGGGATGCAAAACTACCAGGGAAAAAAACTGCATGGGTTTTTTTTTTCAGATCAAGAGACAAGATAGACCGGCTCGAAGGGAAGGGAGAGGCCAACAGAAGGGTTGCAGGTATCACTTCCAAACTACAACAGAGTTAAAGCAGACAGCAATGCCGCAGGGGCTGCAACAGCCAGGAACATCCCAGCAGCAGCTCCTGAAAGTACATACACCGAAGCAGGACATTTTCTTTCTCAAAGCAGATCAAGCTGAAAAATACAGGGAGAATCCAGCCTGTGGAGGCTGCTCAGGATGGGATGGGGAAGGGAAGGAGCAGGGAGCAGACTGTGTCCCTCAGACAACCCCAGGGGCTGCAGAAGAGGCAGAAAATCCCACAGAGAAGATTGCTTCAAGCTGGGAACTCCACTCATCACAGCTGGTCTTCTCCATCCCTCAAGTGTTACCATCCACATTCAAGGCTAGATTTCGTGGTTTCCACAAGTTTGCTGGCTGGAGAGAAAAGCCAGCTCACTGACCCTGAAAAAACACCTATGACCTTCCCTGACACTCACCAGACTGTTGGGAGCGATGTCCCCTGCCCTTTTTCTTCTTTTCCTTCTTCTCCTTTGGTTTGGCTAAATTGAAGAGGCGGGTAGGCATCTGGGGCTGTTCCTCAGCTGCCTTGTTAGTCTGGTTTGTTGTGCTAAGCAAATGGAAAGTGCTTTTCTCTTTGTGTGTCCTTGAAAGACTGTTCCTTTTGGGGGAGACAGACAGTTCTGCATCAAAGTGCCCTTGTTTAGGAAAGGAAGGGCTCTTCTGCTTGGAGGAGTCATCGATGCTGGAGTGGGAGGGGACTCTTGCCAGTTTCTCATGTAGATTTGAAACCTACGAAGGAAAAGAAAAGCGTTTCATTGGGGCATGAAAGAAGCTAGCAGAGAACCTGGATAGGAAAGATGTTTCCCAGACCACTGACAGAGACAGAGTTTGCTCCTTTCAACATCCAGCCCATTCACCAGCTAAAAAGTGGTCCCCGTCCAGGCACAGCAATGAGAGAAGAAGCCCTCTCCGTTTAAGATGAAGAAACGAGGCATACAGAGAGTAACACTCCAGTATATTTTGCTCCTACAAGTACTATGCTATGTATCAACAAGCCAAAGGCAAATATTCTTTAAGATCTCAATATCCAGACTCACCCTGCATCGTTCGCACACACAGACGGTGGCAGAAGGCCAAGGAGAAGTGTGCCTCTCCGGCAGGGGAATGCCAGCACACAGCACCAGAGCGGCATGTGTCAAAGGAAGCCTCCCCAAGCAAAAGATGAAAGCAAAAACATTTTTCCTGATGTTTTTTTTTCCCCTAACGGCTGTCTCAGGATGTAATTGAGCCCGCACATTCAAAGGGAAGATCAAAACAACAGCTCAACAAAGCCTCACCAAACTCTCTATTAATAGCTCTGAAATGTCAGTAAGATACCTGCCTCAAAAAGGTGCTTCCTTCTCCTGACCCCCCAGGTCTCGCAGCTATTTTACCTCTCAGCCTCTCCCATAGCATCCATGCCCCTCACATGTCTCCATGTGCTCGATGCTGGAACAGCTTCACTGTGTGCTCAGAAAACTTCTGGCCTGATCAGGAGCCGGGGTGGGAGGGAGCAAGCCCTCCTCTGATGATTTGCTTTTCAGAGCTCACTGCTGAGCTCTGCAATTAGTCCATTCAGGCACCCAAAATAATTTCCATTCCACAATCCAACGTTTATAAACTAATTCTGCTACAGCTCTAAGCAAATTATATTCAGAATTAGTCAGTTACAAACAAACAAACGATCAACAACAGGCTTAAGGTTCAAATTCAGCCCATGTTTTGCCAACGGATGCTTGCTCTCCTCAGCCAGACTGCTGCAGTTATAAAAAAAAATAAACCCCAGCTTGCTGAAAAATGCACAGAGCAGGAACTGCGTGTGGGCTTTTCTTTCTGGTTGTGGACAGCCAGACACCAGAAGCCTCTTGCAGCACAGTCAGGACCTTTGCTCACTGAGCACCAGACTGCAGGTGCCCAGTCTCTTTAGGACAGGGACAATGCCCATCTCTTTGCTAGATATTAAGAATGCTTTTGGAGATGGATGTAAGTGTACAAACAGCCCTCCCCTGCAGTTATCAGCCTTGCAAGTGGCTTTCATGACAGCTGGAGGGTGCAGGTAAACCACAACACTCAGGCTGTTTCCGAGCAGGATGCCTTATCTGCCTTACCGCTCCCCAGACCTCAGCCCCCGTGGGGTGAAGGCCAATGTCAAAGGCAGTATCGACCTCTTGGGATTGCCTAGGGCACCCTCTCTGCAAGCCAGCCACCTCCGCTCTGTCGTCCACCAATACACAGCACAGAAAAGCGGGCACAGCTCAGGCTGTTGTAACTACCTACTGCTTAAGACTGGCCAGGCAGCCTGAATACACCATGTTGCATCAACACTGGGAACGACTCAGCATCTCTGGAGGTGCGAGAAACGCAGCCCTGCAGATCACGTGCAAGGAAAGAGCCAGTTTTAAATACCAGACCCTGCATATCTAGGGCCAGGCTGGCGTCAGTCTATCTCTGCTGGCATGCAGTTGGCCCAGGAGCTGGCCGGGAGCTCCCTGCAGGGCACGGCTTCCCCGGCAGCCCGGCTGTTGGCATCATTCACCTGGTTGTGGTCAGGCTCCTGCCGCATTTGAGCTAATCGCTCCACATCTTGCTTGAACTGCGCCTTCTCCTTCTCCAGCTGCTTCTGCGCCGTGCGAAGCCTCTCCAGGTCAAGCTGGTAGGAGGCCTTCTTCACCTGCAGCTCCTCTCGCTCCCGCTCGAGATCCTGCCACCCTCTCTGGACCTGCTCCTCTCGCTGGGCCAGGTGGGCCTCCTGCTCTGCCAGCTCCTTCTCCCGGACTTCCCACTCCTTCTCTTTCTTCCGCCTCTCCTCCTGGTGCTGTGTCTGCTGCTTCTTCAGGTTGGCCAACTCCTGGCGCTGCTTCTCCAGGTTGCGCTGCTTCTCCTGCTCCAGCAGCGAGGTTGGCCGGAAGAAGCTTCGGGTCAGAGCCCTCTCGCTCAGAGCCAGCTTCTGGTCCTCGATGTAGGTGTCCTGCTGCAGCACTACGCCCTAGGAGACAGGGGACACAGATCACTCTCCGTGGAGAGAGGCTCCATCCCTGAAAACCTCAGAGTGCTGTATTGAACCCCTTCTTCTCCCACCAAATTCACAGCTCAGCACTGCTGCGTTACGGCTGGGCTACCAGAGGATGCTGGCAGAGCATCTCCCCCAGCAGCTTCCCAAATTCAGGTGAGCACCAGTTCACTTAGGCAGCAGCTCATTCCTGTGACCTGCCGGCACGCTGCCTGCAAGCCAGCCGTGGGGTATTCAGCCACGCAGGGACGTGACAGGCAAAGGGGAAGGGGAGGTGTGGGGTGAAGTGCGAGTGGCTGTTCCTGGCTGGCGGGACGCGCAGTTCGGGCAAGCGGCATGCAAAAGCAGGATGAGCGGCCAAGCCTACCTGCAAAGCACTGAGCAGCTTATGGAGGCTGGTAATGGTTTGGAGGACCTGCTGCGAGAAAACAAAAGGGTTGCTATCAGAGCTCACTGGGTGCCAGGGTATGCGTAAAGCACCCTCCTTTTCCGCTGTGACCCACCAGTGGGTTTGACAAGCTGTACGGCCATCAATCTACACCTTCATTTTTCTCACTCTTCACTTGCAATGACTGCATCATCTCCCAGTACACAAATACATCCCTTGGACATCTCTCAGAGGTGCCTGGCATCATCTTCCTCACTTTCCTAGCTGTCAGTGCGGTAGGGAAGGAAATGTCTGCAGAAGAACCAAACGCCACAGACCTCATGGGAACTCCCGGGCTGTCTCTGCAAACCATTTCCCACAGTATCAGCTTGCTCAAGAACAAGCAGAGTAATTGGGATGAAACCTGGCAGTTCACTTAAAAATTTCAGGGAAAGAACTTCAACGGTTGAAAAAAGAAGAAATCTTAAAATGAATGTGGACTATTTGTACTCTTCCACCCCTGGCTGACCTATTCAAGTCGCACTGTCATTAGACAGAAAAACTGCAATACAGCAGGCACACAAGCACAGCAGGTGTGTTCACGGAGGCTCTGAAAATACAGGTAAACGTGAACACATCGTGCATCAATACAGAGGAAGCTACTTTGGAGCAATGCCCTATCCCTAAATATATTTTTAGCCTAGCTAAAAATTTTTCTGAATCTCTCATATCCCAGAATTACTTTGAAGAAGAAGAAAAACCACTGCAGTATTTGCAATAGTGGTGCGATAGCCAGGATTAAGAGAACTACTGCTCATTCTGCCATTAATGCTAATTGGGAGTTATGAATGTGTATCAAAGGGAGAAGAGAAATCTAATTGCCCCAATTCACTGCACCTGCAACATAAAATTAAACTCCCTCTGTCTGCAGATGCACAATAAATACAGCCCTGTGCATCCTAGTGGTAATTAACCCTTGCTGCCTATAATCAGCACAGATCATCCTGCTGGCAAGCAGATGACAATCAGTGAATTCCCTGTCTGAACATCCAAGGTTAAACAAATAAATGGCACAGTGGGTTCAGCTTAATGTATTTAAGAAGTCTACATGCGCTTCAGCAAATGAAATGTATTTTCTTCTACATTATCACCTATTGAGACAAATTCACTTGCCACTTAAATGAAGGAAACAGCTGAGCAACAAAATCAATTCTTACCTCGTTATTCCTTTTCAACATGAACATCAGATTAGCATTTCCACCCTATGAAAAGATCACAGATTTAATATGAGGACAAATGAGAAATCACAGCAAATGTGTTCTGAAGCTGAACTAATGAGAGACACATTAAACCCTCCCTCCATCTTCCATTCTGGGAGAATTCATGCATGTTTTTTAGGCAAGTTAAAACCATATAAAATAAAATGTTAATTAGGTATCATTTTGCAGTTACATGATGGATCGATCCACAGCAAGAATAGGTGCAAGGTTATAGTCGACCTTATAATTTCAATAACGATGCATAATTAAACACATGCTTCAGCTGATCTGCAGACAGATGGCAGATAACCTGTGCCACAAAGGAATACTACTGATTTGCAATGGTTTTCAAGTCAGGATTTTAGCTACAGCAAAGCATTTTTGGCTGCATACTTCCAAATTTATTTATTTTTAACTTATTAGGATTCATCTAATTGTCAAGAAATTCAGGCATTTTTCAAGACTTGAACTTGAAAATCTCTTGAAATCTGAACTCACTGGCAGCAGACAGATAAAACAAGCGATACCTTCTTTAAAATGCTGTCCGACTCTGTTCTCCGAAGGTCCTGAGCATCATCGCCTTCATCTTTCGCTCCACCTAAAGGAAGAAACCAGCATTGACACTGGTTATTCAACATTTTAAACCACAGATGAACTTGCTAATGTCTGAGAAATTTAATACAGGAAACTCAGATGTTTCACCAAAGGCGACACAGAGCTCTTGACACTTCAACTAAATGCATTTGCTCCCTACGTATACAGAGCATGTCAGCACCACCAGAAAAAGTGGATCTGAATTCAGATTAGGTTCGACTTTGGTTTCAGACAATGTGCTGATAAATTCGGCACACTCCTGTTAACTGGTGCTCTGTCTAGCCCCTGCACTGCTGTCTACTAGCAAAGAATGCTTGCTGAGAAGACCTGAGGCAGAGTAAGAGCAGACGGAGAACAATAACAGTATCACATCAGGGTATATTATTGCAGGTATAGTTTCAATGCCTCTCTTGTGCAAGTGCAATTTACAGCTGGGTCAGATACCGCTGTGCAGTACCCTGTGTAATTTTATGCTAACAATTTATCCTTAACCTTAGTTATCAGAAAGCTGTATCTTCAAAGGGACAATGGACTTCTCTTTCTACCTTCCCCCTAGATGGCTCCTATCAGTGCTCCCGAGCAGGACTGAACTGACCTGCGGGGCCAAGAGGGCTGCAACCCTCTGCCTGCGCTGCCCTTCTGCTCACGGGCGGCGAAGGCGTCGCATGGCTCTTTGGTCCTCTAGCTCTTGCCAAGACTCTTGCACTCCCCTTGCCAGCTGAGATACAGCCCATGGGGAAAATCCACACCTGCAGTGGTAACCTCCCTACTGCCACTTTCTTAATGATCGACAACTTTACGTACACCTGTACCTGCAGCAACGTGAAGGACACTGTGCCTAGTGCAAAGGCCCTCTCCTCCCACCACCCTCCAGGCAGGCTTTGCTATTAAAGGCTGACCCTCAAGTCCTCCTAACAGACCTTCTCTCCTGCACCACGTCCTGGGACCTTCCACCTCTTTGCAGGAGGAAACACCTCCTTCCTGCTTTGCTGGAGGGGAGAACGAAGGGGAGTCAGGTTATAAGCCTTGCCCAAGGTCGCACAGGTTGTGAACAGAAGAACTGGAGATGAAAGCCAGGTTTCATGCCTCCAGCTGAACAAACAGGCCCTGCATTCTTTTCCCAAATTCTCCCAAGGCCCTACAACTATTGAATTACAATCTAATTCGAAAGAGGACTTTTCTACAGAAAACCTAGAGCTGGGCAATGAACAGCCTGAGGTCGTCCCATTCATCGCTGCAACAGAGAGAGGCACAACCCTAAACAAACCCCTCCAGTGTGAATATATTTGTCATTATGATGACAAGGCCTGTGGAGGGCTTTGCAGCTTTCCAGCAGAGCTGGGAAAACCTCTACATACTTCTCATGTCTGACTGTCTAGAGCTAACACTGCTCCCTTAATGCAGAAGGTCAGACGAGGTCCAACGATCCCAATGCTGAGACAGACACTAGCGCAGCAAAACTGGCTGTACTGGGAGTATGAGTGAGACCACAGAGAAAGGAATTTGAGGACAGGGAAGTTTCTGATGACTAGGGCAAAGAACGAGAGCATTGGGAAGCAGCCAACTATGCAGCTGAAATAAATATTCACACGTTTCTTTGGGAGAGACTTAATTGCAGGAATAACACATGCAGTTGTATGTGGAACACAAATGCATAGAGAGCAAAGCCAGGGAGAAGGTGCTTGATTCAGCAATATCCTCATCCATTTGCAAATGCAACAGCACCAGGCTCCTGCTGGAAGATAATTGAAGAACGAAGAACAGAGCTGCAGATATTACAATAATTACATGAAGAAACTAATCTGTTAAGAAGCCAAATGCTTTCATGTGGCATGTAAGTAAAGAAGTAAGGATGATTTAGAGAGAGCACAGAGACAGAGGAGTGAGCAGTTCAGATGTTTAATCCTCATGTAGCCATGGGTTCTCAGCTACCATCATTCCACCTCTACATAAGTTTTTTTTTCCCTGATCTGTTATTTAATCTATCAACTACTATTGGAGAGGAGTTGGGAAACCCAAATCACCAGCTGCTGAAGTCCTTCTGAAGCAAGAGGATATGATGACATATATTATTAACAAATGCTGATGTGCACACATGCAACTACTCACACTTGGAGGCATTCATCTGATGACTGTCAAATCCTCCAAAAGTTTCTGCCCTTCTAGGGAGAGAGATGGGGCCAACTCCTCCTTCTTGTTCCATGGCAGTGCTGCTGACCTGCTGTCCGAGGGCAGTGCCCAGGCTCCTGTTCACCAGGTCTTGCAGCAGTTCAACTGATAAAAAGCAACAATATCTCTGTTAAAGACCACCTCAGGCTTCTGAGCTATTTTCATCCCTGCCTGAGCTCAGGTCAGCAATTCACATGGTTTGCTGTACTAAGAAACCATGTGTCTATGACAATAATATGAACAGTACACATTCCCCCTGCAAAAACTCAGTCTGCCTGACCATTAACTCCAATTTCTGGAGCTCTACACAGGCTTACACCTCCCTCTCTTCCTCCAGGCAACCCTGGTGTGCTCTGACAACAGCATTTAATAATTTTTAGCCTCTCCAGAAATCACACCAGAAAGTTGCCCGAGTTTCCATCCACCCTTGCCTTTGTCAACAGACTTGCCTGTCCGTTGCAGGCACCAGAAGCACCTGCTGGAACCCAGGCCCTGCTCTCACACCTTGCTGAGACTGAAGCACAGCAAAAGCCTGGATGGTCCAAATTTCAGCCAAGGATAAATCCTGCGCTGCTCCTGACCCCAGTGCAGATTCAATGCGTGGTTGTTCTCTGTGCTGACTTCTTTTCTGCCCTCTTTCAACAGTCATCAATATCTGCTTCCTTTCCTAATCCTCATTACCTATCCCTGAGACAATACCATGAGTAGCAGTATCTCCTTATCTATGCTGTTATTCTGACAAAGAGAAGACTTCCCCTGCAAAACTGGTGCTTGACAACTGATGGATTCACTGAAGGTAGGTCCGTTGGTAGTGTAATTAATGTGTCACCCTGACTTGCTCACCTTCATTTATTGCAGTTTTCATAATGGCCTCTCCTTTTGGTGCCTCTTCTGTGTTGGCTCTGAAGAGCAGCCTGGAGCCTGGCATGTCCTCCTGCACGGAACTGTCTGCCATGTCCCGGAAGATCTTAGCCTTCTCCTCCAGCAAGAGGAGGATCTGCTTATCCTTCTGCTGAAGTTGCTCTGTGGGGGTGAACAGACAACAGAGATGAAGACAGAAAATAAAAGCTTCAGCAAGGGAACTGAGTGATTCCTGAGATATTGGCCCCATCTAGTGGAACCTGATGCAATCCTGCACAGCAACAGCAGCCAGCAGGCTCAAAAAAAATTAATGCAAGCAAGGTGAGGTGCAAACAAGGATTGCAATTATTTGCTGGATGCAGGATTCTCACTTCTTTGAAAAAAGTCATAGCTCGACCACAAAACCCAACACAACAATTCCTGTAAATTTTTCAAAAACCGCTCCCCAGCTCTGTCCCAGGCAGGATTTTACCTTTCAGTCCTCTCACTTTTGCGTCCGACACTTTCTTTTCAAACTCAGACTCACAAGGGACTCCTTCGTCTTCATCTTTATCCCTGGACAAGAGACATGTCTCAATTACTACCAGAACACGACTACGTGCATCACCTGCCTTGTAAGAACAGCTTGGTAGCTTACATGGTGTTCATGGTGTCTTGAATGATCTGTATCCAGCCGTTACGCTCTTCTTTGGAGCTGGCATGGACTTCCACCATTTCGGGATCTTTTACACCCATACTGATCAGGAACAAACCCTTCTCTTCATGAGCCACTTCTCGTACAATCAGCTTCTTCAGAGAGATCACAGTGGATTTCTGGTCCTTCAGATGGAAAGAAACAGGTGAGGAGGGTGAACAGGACTAGTTCCCAGATGCAAATTAGCATTGAAAAGGTCCTAATAACCATACCGCTACCTCTCTCAGGTTGTAAACATTTTCTGAACCTATTGGCTAATTAAAAAAATAAATCATTTTAATGGGGTCAAAGAACAGGGAAGGGCTTGCTTTCCTCCATCAGTTCTGTAGGAAAAGCAATTTCACCTTGTTCCGTTTCAATAAAAAATTAATTTTAAATTGACTTTGTGGTTTTGCAAACTCTACCATATTTTGTTCTAACTCCAGCAGACCTTTGATCTCATCTCCTCCTGCCCACACGCTCTCTGTCACTAATATCACAGCTCCTTAAGCTTAGTGCAGCTTGCTAGCGCCTGCTTCACACACATTATCTTCAGAATCTCTCCCTAGGATGGAGTAACATCTTGTTTTCAAATCCCACAAAACCCCTGCTGTTCTCAGACGCTCAGAGCTGACTCCTGTGATGGAGAAGGCTTGTGTGTAAGATGATGTTCATTGTGTGCTATGGTCTCTGTGTAATCAGCCTGCTTGGTTAAAACCTCCCGTTGCTGCTGTGTCATCTGCATATGAGTCAGCCCCTTCGTGCATTTTACAGGATGCTACAACTGGGGTGATGGGTAGCGGTTCACTAGAGGGCCTTGTGTGCAAATCAGCTCCCCCAGTGTAGGGCACTGAGTCTGTGCAGATTGTTGGTGGAACTGGAATAACAAATTATCAGCTTTCAAAATGTTGGAAGAGTGGAAAGGTCACAAGGTTTAGCCAGTCTAGACCCTGCCTGCAAGGTACAGCCCCAACAGACTCAATTAGGTACTAGGTTTTCTTCAGCAGGTCAGTGTGCCTAGCCCTTTTATGAGGCCTGCCTTCAAAAGCGCATGTTTTTGGTCTTGTGCATTACAAATATATTCCTCTGACATTTATTTTCAAGTTGTTCTGTTGAATTTACTGCAGTGGCATTTCACCCCCCTGGCCTCCCATAGTAGCTCACAATGTATTAGGACATTTCCTTCTGCTAAGATTCATTTTTACAATGTTTTCATTATCCCATTGCCTCCTCCCACCCCAATCACTGCTTCAATTTGCACAAACTGAAAAGGAGTAAGCGTATCGAGTGTCAGGCAGGTTTTCAAGGCCAACTATCGGCTGTGCCAAGGCACTGCAGAAAGGGGAGGTGGGGCATGAAGACATGTTTTCCTATCAAAAAGAACGGAGTCTGCTCAGCAAACGAAAATGTTATAAGCAAGAAAATTGTTTAGCACGCAATGGCTGGCTTCACTGCACGACACGCATCAAGGGTCTCCCACATAGAACAGGAAGGAGGAGAAAAGGTTGAAGCCTTACCAGTGAGGCAAAGACATACTTCTGGTCCTTCTCCTGAAGGAATACGAGCATGTCAGAGAGGAGAACAGCCTGGACTTCTGCAAAATAAAAAGCATACCAGTGCAGTGTAACCACGCAACCCACCCCGAAACAGGTTTCTTTTAATAACAGCAGTGCTGGGGAGCGGTAGGGCTGGTTTTGCAAATCCTGGAAGCAGGGTCAACCTCCCAGTTAGCAGGAGGAGCAGGGGCAGCTCCTGGAGATGCTGGGCCTGGTTAGCTCTGAACTGACTTTATGTTAAGCAGAACACAACAGCACCTGGCAAACCTGCAGGATTTTCTCTCATCTGTCGGAGCAGGGGTGCTCCTCTCCAGCCACATGCTTTCTAACAATTAGGACACGGGTGTAACAGCGAAAGCTAGAGACATTTAATGAATAGAAGCATTGTTTTCTCAAACAATCAATATTTTAGCCCTTGAGCAAAATATCTGCACAGGAAGTTTGGGTTTTACGGTTCTCTTGATGAGTGCTTTGCGGAGTGTAAATTATCGTGCAATAACAACACTTGTCAGCTGCAGTTTCTTTCCCAGGAAATACCGACTTCAGGAGCCACCACTAATTCTGCTCACAGACAAACACAACTCTTGCCGACTCCAAGGGGAGCCGACAGAGCCTGCGTGAGATGCAGGACCTGGCTTTCTTTCACGGGAGAAGGAAGAACAACATCAAGCCAACAGAGGATTTTAAATCAGAATACAGCCTTTTCGCAGAGTACCCATACAGCCTTCCAAGTCTCCTAATAACATATCATAAAGTTGCACAGCAACTACCAAGTATAATGCCCCACCCAGAGCCCTCAGCACAAAGAGTTTTTGTGTAATGTACTTGGGAAATCTTGTGACAGAGACAAAGCAAACCAAAAAGTTAAATCATCCTGTGGGTAATTCCTTCCATTCCGTTTTGGGAACACAGGATCTGTTCCAGATAAAAGAACCACCAAACTTTAATCAAAGCTGCAAAATGAACTCAAAGATCTGGGAAGTTTGCAAAAGTCGGCAGTTGACTCAGTATCGTCTGTGCACTTTGCAAGAGGGGAAATGCTAAAACCCTCTAAGAAAAGTTCTTCCTATACATCTCTGTGCTCTATTTCAAATCCCACAGAAGAGCCTGAATGTGTGAACTAGCTACTCTGTCCCTGGGCTCTGCAGCGTGTCTGCAGGACTTGCTTTCGCTGGGAGCTTGCACTACAGATGGAGATATGTTTATGCATTTCTATGACTTAGAAATGCAAATGCAGCCTGTACTTATCACAAGATTTCACAACAGCAGCATAGCTTGCTTCATCCACCATCTAAAGTCAATGGTAATCTCGGGTGCCTAGAAACCATCTGTAAACTTCCTGTTCCCAAAACCTCAAAATAAATCATACTCAGTATGGAATTTTGTGTTATCACTGCACAGTGTGGCACCAGGCTACCAGTCCCCATTCATGCCCAGGTACTGTGGTTTAATCAGCTGATGCTGGAATGAGAGAAGGAAAGCCCAGCCTTCCTGCCAAGCCCGAGACACAGCCCTGCCTGCTCTTACTGCTACCGCGGTCCCAGCTGAAGGCTTCCTTGGGAGATTTAGTGTTTAATTCAGTAGAGAACTTCAGTGCTCAGCAGAGCACGGCACCTTAGAAACACTATTTCCATGTGATAACAAACAAAAAGCAATTAAAGAAAACATTGGCCAAACAAGCGGCAGCTGCAGGGACACCAGAGCCTCTCCTGAACAGTTTGCATCGGCAGCTCAAGAGCAACAAATGCCTGGGTCACCTCTCTGGAATCCCAGTGAAACTGGGACGATAACGCCGGACCTGGGCAGCCCTACCACAGACCTCAGAGCAAAGGCAAGGCAGTGCTGCTGGCCGGCAGAGCCAGCGGGAAGCTGAGGTTGGGTTTCTGACGCTGCGAGCACGCTTCCTGCAACCGCTGCACATGCGCGTGGCGGCGCGGAGATCTGACTCACTGCTGTGGGCAACTGCAGCCCCATCGCGTTCTCCTGGCCCCAGCGACTCCGCTCCTCGGCCAAGGTGTCACTGCAACCCAAGCCTTCAGCAGGCATGCAGTCACCAGGTGGAAAAAAACAGCTATCAGCCCTGAAACATCCCAGCATGGGGAAAGCTGCTGTCAAAATCTCTCAAAGCAGAGGAATAAATAAAGGCTGGAGACACCAATCTGAGGACTAATCCTACATCCAGAGAGGGCGAGCTGTATCCTCCCCCGGCAGAACGCAGGGTAGTCTTACCTTTTAACCGGCCAGCTGCGTTTTTTAGTGAAACAGGCCCATCTCGGATGAGCTTCCGATGCCTCAAGTCCTCTCTTGCAAACATCTGGCCACTCTTCATCCTCATGATGGACTTGCTATCCGTCCGGTTGTAAATCTCACCAAGACGCATTTTCTTTTCATAATTGCTGACTTTGCTATTGACTGCAGCAATCACGTCTTTAACGAGGTTTAATGACTGAGTCAAGTCTTCATGTTCCACTTCATTTTCTTTGAACAGAAAGAGAAACACCTCGATTTCACTTCATCCTTGTGGACTCTAACTTCCTGATTTTACTTCCTTCCTTCCTCTTCTCCCTCCCAAATTCCCACATTGTAACTTTTTAATACTTTCATGAGACAGGCTGCATTTTTTCCCCCTTAAAGAGTTTCACAAAACCTTTCACATATATGGGTGAGGTTGGGGATTATTCCAATATACTTTGTATATGAGATAGTATAAATGAAATGCACAAATTAACCACGTATTTTAGCCATTACCAACAAAAAGCAAGCTGGGAGACTTTGGAGTCTAAGCACGTTGCTCCATAATTAGCTACAGACAGACTTATAACAACTAAATCAAGGCACCCAAATAACTAATCTTAAATGGAGATATGAAACTGGGTTATCTCGTTACAGCGGTGTGAGACAGTAATGACTAGATTAGTTGGTCTATTCTAAGAAAACCTGCTTCAGCTGAAAAGGATCCAAGATATTTACATGGGAGGAACAAACACACACTTAGAATAGAGGAACTGGTCCCTACCTTTGGTGTACTGCAGTATCCTTTGTAAAAGGACCGGGTACTTTGTGATTCTCTGTGTTACCAACAAGATACATTCAGAAATCCCAAGACGCCTCACCAGGGAGCTGCTCATTTTTTTCTAAGGAACAAAGATGAAAATTTCAGTTCTGTAGCAAAATGCTCACAAAAGTGCAGAAAGGACATACTTTTTCCATCGACTATGTCTGTTCTACCAGGTCCTACCTTGACAAATGCCTGAAACCGCTTGTCCTTTGAGTACAGATCTTTGAAGTTATTTACTGCCTCATTGTGATGCCCGCAGAATTTGCCGTATGTTTTCTTCATTCGCTCGGCACTCTCACCGGAGAACTGCAAGACATGAGACACGGAGGTCCAATTTGCACTGAGCTCCTGGTGTGATATCCCAGAAGCGCCTGCCAGTCTCTCAAAAGAACTTGATGAAACCAAATTGGTCCAAAGCATCCTAAACCAGGCAATTAGATCTCTAGAAAGTAAAGAGCTGAGTTTGAGACTTCACTGCGTTCACACAACGCAAAATTTGGGAATCTACCTCACAGGGCTTAAAAGCCAACAACAAAAAAGTCAAGACAGACAAAAAGAAGAAGGGAGAAAGCACAGATAAAGAAAAGTAAAATGACCCACGTAACGTTAAATGGCGGGTCAGTAACTCAGCCAAGAAACACATTGGGCACATTGTACTGTGGGCTACTGCCTACCCTCCAGGCTATGGTCAGACCGTTCTGTGCCCGTCAGAGAATGCTTCTCTTTCCCACAAAATAAACTAAATTAATTTTCATCATTAGACCTTCCTCTGAAAGAGCAAAAAGTGCTTCAAAAAGCAGAGACAGAGGTTTTTACGTGTGTGAAGAGTAAAGGTGCCATCAGCTGTGATTATTTAACAGGCATAAACAGGAAGGAAGGAAGAGCGCCCGGTTTCCAGCTGTGCTCTCAGAAGTGCAAGCATTTTCCAGCACTTACTTGATTCACTAGGATGTCACCTATCCTCTTGATAACAAAGTTCTTTTCACTTTTGTCTGCCAACGACTCCTTCTTCCTTTCCAGAATCCGCTGGAAGAAGTGACTGTGGATGTGCAGCAAGTTTTCCAGGCAGGGAAAGATCTTGTCCACGACTTGTTGATCATACTGCAGTTCTTTTAACATCCCTGCGCTGTATACATCATTCATGATCTTCAGGGTGCGGACATGATGCATTTCTGTCTGCATTAGCTCTGTATAGGATGAGGACAAGGTCAAAACCAAGGGCACTGTAGAGTACATGGGTGTACAGTACAAGGAAAAGCTGCCATTAGAAAGCTCTTCCATAACTGGGCTTCTCTAAGTGGCTTCAGAAAATTTCACATCAGGTATTGAGACAGCAATCAATAGTTTCATGTGTGGGAGACACAGAGGGGCAGAGGAGTCCCACAATAAAGAGCTTTGGACACTGCTGCTGAGGTCTGAACCTTCAGCTCTGTTATCGGCTCCTTCCTAACACTGCCAGCCTCAACATAGTGCGCTTTTTCCATACAGGACGGCTCTTGCATCCGGCAGGAGAAGACTTCCTAGCTAGCTGCTCTGCTGTAACGGAGTTTAAATGTCATCAGCAGACAAATGATGAGAGGCAATTTCTGGTTTTTTTGATGGCTTCTGGATAGGTGAAAGGCAGAAAGAAAGCTTTCAAAGAATACATTATGTTTCTAAGAACTTCAAGAATGGCTTCTAAGGAAACCAAGTCAATGTTCTTATTCACTGACCTAAAGCTTCCCAAATCCATGCATGTGAGTATATCAAGAAACTATCTACAATGACTGAAAAATTAAGATGCAGGTATCTCTCACCGTAAATGACATCTTGCCGTTTGACAACATCTTTGTTTTGCTGCTGTAGGAACTTGCTGTCCACTACCTGGCTCCAGGACTCTGCCTCCAGCTGCTTGGAATCTAATTCCAAGTCTCCCATCAGCTGTCCTTCGTTCATGTCCGCACCTTCACAAAGCAATATAAGTGCCATTAAGATGTGGGTAACTTGTCTCATTTGAGATTTCTGTCTGTTCACTTAGGTTTAGGCTTTCTCTGTCGTACCACAGACATCACACACATTCTCCTTTACTGACATAAAAATGATCACATGGAATTATACCATGTAAGGACCAGGTTATGAAAAGCACTTTTCAAGGTTATTTGCTAGTTGCACAAACCTAGTTCATGATTTTCACATAGACAAAATTCTAGCTCAGGTAAAAGACAATGGATTCTTTATCTGCAATGCAACAACATTGCAGATAAATAAAAACCCATAACACCCAGCTTGTGTTCCTTCATTTACATCACTGAATCGAGGGAACTTAGACTTACGTGAAGTCTGTGTTTTCAAGCTTAGAAAGCCAGAACTGATGTAGGTAGAATTGAACGCTACATACGTTACATACACACATATCTATCTTTAAGAAAGATGTTCATTTGTGCAGGAACTAGGAAATTTTCTCTTGTCATCATGAGCATGCCCTTGTTTAGTCCTTAATAAATTAAGACCATTCTGCTCTTTTCAGGTAAATATTGGCTAAGATGTAAAAATATTGATTATATCCTAAAAAAAGCACCATATAAAAATATTTAAACTTAAGAAATTAATTTAACTGACTTCACTTTCAAACCCACAAAACTAAACAATATGTTTTTTCCTTCCCCACTCTGGGAAAAATATGAAACACAAGACATCAGCATGAAAAAGGTGACAGAGTGCAAAAATCTGTGGCTGTACGAAAGGGCCAGAGGTGCAGAACAAAAGAGGAAATGTACGTCCCTGAGCTAAATTCCAAGTAACTCAACTGTAACTGAAACCTTTTAAATTTTTTCCCACAATTCAACAAGCTAAAGAAATTACTATGTGGGGCTTTGTTTTAGCGTATCACACTAATATTCTAAGATTAAAGTAAATGCAGTTTAACTATCCATTAGAAAGAAAAACTCTTGCTGAAATGCCAAAAATGGAATTTCTGTTTCTGGAAAGCAGCACTGAGACCTTCCTGTTGCTATAAATGCCATGGGGATCTCTTACCCTCATCAACCAGTGACTCCATGGATTCATTCACCCGGCTGATTTTATGTAAGGAGTCTGTTGACTGCGATAGGAATTTCCAAGTGTGTATTAAGCTGTCATCGTTCCCAACTCTGCAAAAAAACAGAACACAGGATAGCATTTATGACGTCGAAAACCAGTCGAATGTATTTTCAAATACACAGAAGAAATGCATTTTTAAATACGAATTGAAAACCAAAGCAAGTGTTACACAGTTATGTACAGAAATGTATTTTTTTTTTCTAACAGCTACTCACTGGTGCTCAACAAGCTGTAAGAACTACAGTTCTCAATGAGGGTGCTTCTTCTATAAAGAATCACACCTGGTTTTATGGTTTGGATAACTCCTTTTAATTCCTTGCCATTTTACTGTCACATCCCATTGTCATTGGGGCAGGCAGTGCAAAAATCCAATACAAAAGGCTATCCAAGAGTCTTTATTGCTAGCTCTGAGAAGGATCAGAAGAATGGGCTGAAATAAATTTCACCATGAATATCCAGGGCATGCCAAGTATCCAGAACATCCCAGTCCATGCTACTGCCCTGTATGTAGAATTGCTCAATATGCAGGTAGGGTAGGAACCATGAATTAGATTTTCTTCCTTTTCTTTTCTTAAGTAATTATGTATAACACAGTCCTGAAACACCATTAAGACTGCAGCTCTGTGCCTCCACCATATCATTATGGACACACAAGTTAATACTATACCTGAGCTGCAAACATGTGCTTGCACTGTACCCAGCCCAAGGCAAGGAATTTCCTCCTGGAGCCCAGAGCATCTCTATGAAGTGGCCTTGAATATAACCAGGCCAACTGAGATGCCTCTGAACTCATGCCATGACTAAACTAACCCAGACAACCTGATTGCACAGAAGACAACTGATGGTATCATATATAATATGGGTATTTTTTGGTTTTGTGATCCTCTTTTGTACCTTTAACACAAATCATAGTACACAAATTTATTTTTAATGAGATCTGAATTTCTCTATGCTCGCAGCGTCAGATAATACACGTACGCTCACGCGTGCAGGGAGAAACCTTACCCTGCAATGTTCTGTATTGAGACACTTTTCGAAAGTGCTGTAGTCTGTTGTGATCTCCTGTTATTGAATATTGAGGTTACGGTGTTTTCATCAGGAGCAAGTATTGCAGAGCGAGGGCGCTCCTTCGGTTGCGAGCCTGGAAGGGAAGTGTCAGGAAAAAAGTCAGCTCATGCAACTGCGTTCTCAGCTGCAATGATGACAACTTAAAGAAAGCGGGCTCTAAAATTCACTTTTCTTTCTAGAGTCGTTACCAGGACATCTCAGCTGTTAGAAACAGCCGTACGAAGGAAAGAACATTGACCCATGTGCAGAACTGACTGCACAGCACTATGCTTAAAAGATCTGGGTGGGACCTGCAAGTGCAGAAATGTACAATTGGGAAACTGAATTTAATTTTATTTGATAAATAATCACATGTAGCAATCTACTATGTTGCTTTTTCATTTCCCTGGGCCTATAATTATATACATCTTCCTGCTTCTGGTCAAACTTCTTGAGATAGGTTTCTCTATCAGTATGTACCACAGAGAAATGCTAATCCTTATGTCATTATATTATCACATACTTTTAACTAATCTTTTCGTATTAATTCCAAATTTTCCCTTCTTCAGATGCATTTCTGCTTTCTGCAGCGATACCTCTGAATTTCATGAGAAATACCACAGTGGGTACATCTGTATCATACAGTGTGGTTCCATATAGTGAGCTCCAAGCTATCACTAAATAAACTTATCAAATCACGGCACTACAAAACCCACGTGGGCTATTTCACTCCTATTCTTTGCCCTCGGTCACAGCGGGTAGCTCCGCAGTGCAGTGTATATCTCAGCACAGTCAGGAAAAGTTTGTCAGTATTAGATCCTATTCAAAATTAAACTTTCTGGTTTTACTACCTCAAAGCATAAGACTATTTAATTAAAAAAAAAAAGTATTTTGAACAAGCATCCTCTCTACTTGTAATTTGAACAATTTCTGTTAATATAATACTGACAGTTGAATTCTTTCCAGTGTCAGACACCCATGGACATAGGCTGCATATTCCAGATTTTGTGGACTTATCAGCTGTAGGCCTTCAGCAAGCTACAAGTTATCTGAGATAACTTTATATTTGCTTAAAGCTACATGGACACTGCAGAAGTGGATGAACTCTGTGCAACTTCAGTACAACTTCTGAAATCCCAAACATTGCTTATCATGCACAGAAGATGCTCTCATCCCTGTTTTGATAAATGCTTATCTTTCATAATATCGAATATTAGTCGTCAGAACTGTTAAGAATAGCAGATACAGACCATCACCAAAGCAGAGGGAAAGGAAGGTTTCTTACTTTTGTTTCTCATGGTTACTGTGGGTAATGAAGAGGTATCATGTGCCTGCAGCATCCCTCTCTGTGGCTGAAAGAAAAATGAAATTCACTGTAATTTCTTCCTCCCTTCTCCCATCAGGCTGTGCCACATAACTAAAATAAAAAGCTATGTTTTTTCTGAATCCTCTCAGAACAGATCGGTTCTTGGCTGTGATCTTGGTTCTTGGTGTATATTTTTATATATATGCACACAGGCACATACACATGTACCCCACGCCCCCAGTTGCTATCAATGAAATAGGCAAAATAACATTCGGAGAAACGTGCAGCAAATAGGAAAATGAGAAGAGAAAGTGCTGACAATACTGAAGAGAACTGAAAATCTTAATTGTATAAACATGAGCTAGCTTGGAGAACCATACTGCAGAAGAGGTTCCTCACATTTGGGGCAAGCATGAATTCTGTGCATTCCTCATATAAACAAAATACACATTTAATGGTTTTCATTATGCATTACATACACATGATGCTGCATTACAGAGTGCAGCATTTGAGAATTAAAAGATACAGCATTTAAGGGTGCTGGACACCCCTGAATTTTGCCAGTGAAGTGTTTTTTCCTTTAATCGAAGCATAGGAGAGACCATCTAACCATAAGGTCCCTGTGTACTGCAGGGAACAATGCAGGGAATTTGCTGCCAACCAACAGTCCATGGCACTGACCGGGAGCATTCACAGAGTCCCAAGGACAGCTACTGTATTAACATGTGGCTCTGGGGAATTTCAGGAGAGCCCAGAGAAATTATTCACTATAGCACAGGGGCTGAAGTTCTTTCCGACAAGCTGGAAACTTTGGGATGTACAGAAGATGACGTTATATATCTGCATGCTAAATTGTTTAAACTTTTTTGTTTATTCAGTAGAGTAGATGAAATCTCTTACCTTCATTTTGACCTTTGCACAAGAAGCAAAACTCTCCTTACAGCCTTTGTGAACAATTGCATTGCAGTCTGTCAAAAGTAAAAAAACCAACCAATTAAACAAAAACCCACAGAAAACACTTTGTGCCATTTGTAATCTGAACTGTTATCTTGCACAACTGAGAATTACAACTTTGAGGCATCGTTGTGGTTTACATGAGTAGCTACAGATACTGAGAGACAGGCTGCTTTCTCGGATAATTAGCCCTTTGTTTGTTAACAAGATTTCCTCATGGAATTTAACAGGAAATTCTGTTTAAAAATTAATGCAAGGTTGAGTCGCCAGGGTCCTAATGGGTCTTTAAAAAAAAAAAAAAAAAGATGGAGTTCTGAAAGAAAAGTAAGGTGGAAAGCAGAAGCAGGAGACAGAAACAGAAACCAATTGTAGGATTATGGGATCTAAAAGACAGGAAAATGAAATTTTAAATTTCATTAAAACTCATTTACATAAACTCAGATGTATCATAGTCAAGATCTACAGTACAGGAACCAAGTGCTACTGTGCTACAGGATTATCAGAAAAAGTAACAGGAGCATCTGCCAGGTGACCACGTCCGTGAGGTTGGGACTTTCTGCTGAAAACTAGACTGTAGCCACTGTTTTGGTCTGAAACCACAAGATTTACCAATGCAAAGAGCCTCATGCTTTAACACCACCATTTGCTGCATATATGCCAGAGCAAAAGCTGCCTATCTTCTTCGGAATACCCAGAGTCTGCCCATGATCTCTACCAGCAGATTTCTAGGAATCAAAGTTTTCAAAGATAATTAAAACTGTTTTTTCATAATAATTGATAATTGGGTTTGGAGTATTAACTCTTCTGATAGATGAAAGATCACAACTCAAATGCTCCCAGATGAGATTCAGTAGCTTAGAGAAAGCCGTTATTTCCACTCATTCATGACAACACATATTAACACAGATCATGAATTATATTTTAAGTGTACATTACACTGTAAGCATACAGTTCTGAATTATTTCTGGAAGAAATATGAAAGGAAAAAATTCCATGGCCAGAATGACAAAATATGCTCGCATGCCTAAAATTTCTTACATTTGGGCCTACTTAATAAAAGCCAGTAATTCTTCTGATATTTTGAGAGAGGTAAGGGTAAGGCCATAGGGCGTTGTTATTCTCTCAATGTCCCACAGTTTCCTGTGCAAGAGAGACAGAAGAAAGAAACCTGCGTGTTCTTGTAAAAACCCACATACAGTATCATTTTTCAGATCAAACGAGGAAGAGGGACAGAACCTGCTTCTGGTGCATGAAAAAAGACAGTGAGACAATGCAGAACCATGAGATTCACACTCAATTTTTGAAAGCCTGAAGGCAGCTCTTTAGTATGTACCATTTAGCAATAGAGCATTTTGATTTTTTAGATCAAAAATCTGGTTTCAGGGACTTTATTCCTCCAATTCAACTCTTCAGCAGGTAGGAAGTTCCTCCAACTCCTCTGTATCACTCATATTAATAAACCCCCCAAAAGCTTCTTTTCTCCATCACTGATCATAAAGAATAAAAAAGACCAGGCAGAGAGCTATTAAAAATTAGGATTTTTGCTTGCCCATTTGTTTTAGAGCATGGTAAGTCTTTCAAGCATTGACTAGCTGTTTCAGGAAGCTGGAGGCGTCATTGAAAAGTTGACACGTTGATTTAAAATGATCCAGCACTTTAAAAGGCATTAAGAAAAAGTCACCCATAGGCGATACAAAGCAGCGATGGTAGCAGTAAAACACTTCCACTTCGGTAGCAAAAAAGTAGTCTACAACACCACTGGAACAACAGAGCCTCTGCTACTGGTTATCAGTCGTTTCCAAGGCATTTGATGGCTGATTTTAAGATGCGATGGGAGAAAGGACTGCTCTCATATCTGAGCTTACAACCTGGGCCCTGACCAAGCTTTCCTTGTGGCACTCATTTTCTGGCCAGTGCAGAAAACTTACACTAATGTTCTGTTGTACCTTGAAAAATAAGGAAAGAACATCTATGCTAAAACACATGGCATTATTGGTTTATTTTAACTCATTAGGATATAGAGAGTTAAATTGGGATATATTTGATTTTCTAAGTGGCTTCAGAAGCTGTTAAGAAAGGCGCA